AAATATCATCAGCAAAATCTCTGTGACAGGGAAAAGGCTGGGAGCCGTGCTGCCCGATCGTAGCTTTTTGGACAATGCATATATGGAAATGGAGACCGAACTAAAGAAAACTTTTGCCGATTTGGAATATGTTTCAACCACTGCAGATCTATGGACTGCTCAGAATATTACAGTACACTGGATAGATCCTGCTACTCTGCATCGCAAAAAAGCTGCAATCGCCTGCAGACATTGACAATACTTTTTTTTTTGCATTGTATTGCAGAAGTGATCTGACTTTGTGCATAAAATAATTTTGTTTTGAGGACACTTAATAGAAAGCTGACATATCTGTTTAATTGGTGATGTTGTTTGTTCAAGTATCATCTTATTATCCTCTAATAAGTTAAAGGTTCTCTAAGCGATCCTGGGTGACATCACTTCTTGTTGACGTTCGAACTATTGTCAAACAAAACGGAGGCTAGCTAGACCCTCCCTCCTCCTCATCCGCACACTAACCCCCCAAACCACACCCCCAAACCCTTCTTGTCGGTCATTGGCTGGAACAGTTTGTTATGTTTCGTGGAGCGGGTCGCCGCAGTTTGTTTTTGTTGCTGTTTGTGGAGCCTGGGCTGTCTACAGAGATCGCGTTTCTTTACAGTGTGTTCAGGGGACAGGCAGCCAGCGGATAGTGAGGAGATGTTTGCTGTATGTGACAAAAAATGTTTTGGCCTAAAAAACGCGTGACATCGCTTAGAGCACCTTTAATAAAACATTTTAAATGTTTGAGATATGTCTTTTACCCTAATATAACTTATTTCATAATGGCAATTTGCTAGTATTACACTCCTTATTATTACAATGGATAGTGAATTCACTTTATATAGTCTACCCACACAAAAAGCACAAAAGTAAAAAACACATTACTTTCCATAATCTGTCATGTGTATTGATATTTTATATAGCATGCATAGCTCTGGGATCAGGAAGTTCTCCGAATATAATATTATTCTATATTATTATTCAATATATATGTGTTTTTTAAAAGAACATCAAGGTGCTTATATAGGCTGTTGTTGAATATATTACTGCTTTAAACACTAGTACAATAACTTCTCAGTCGAAAAAACACCTGTAAGACCTGAAAGAGATCAAGCCTCAGCCAGGTAAGAAAAAGAAATGCAAACGTAACGTAACACATTACTTTCCATAAAAAGTAACTAAGTAACGCAATTAGTTACTTTTTTTGGGAGTAACTAAATATTGTAATGCATTACTTTTAAAAGTAACTTTCCCCAACACTGCCTATAATCCATCGGGCTCTTTGAGATCACTAAATTCGAGGCTTCTGGTCATTCCTAGGATATCCAGATCCACCAAAGGAGGGAGGGCATTTTCACATTTAGCTCCGAATCTCTGGAATAGCCTTCCTGATATTGTTCGTTGCTCAGACTCGTTCTCCCAGTTTAAAACTAGACTAAAGACGCATCTATTTAGCCAGGCATTCATATACATTTTTTATCTTACAGTTACTGTAAATTCGGCCTCTAATTCATAAACGCCAGAGGAGAACTGGCCCCGACTGAGCCTGGGTTCTCCCAAGGTTTTTTTTCTCCATTGGGTCATCTGATGGAGTTTTAGGACACCATGGGGTCACTTGATGGAGTTTTTCGGTTCCTTGCCACTGTTGCCTTTGGCTTGCTCAGTTGGGGATATTCAAATTAAATGACCAATCATACCACTGATCAGCTCTACCAAACTTGGATCTCTTTTTACAGTAATAAACAAACACTGTTAAGTTGTTTTGATTGATACTGTGAAGCAGCTTTGATACAATCTATATTGTGAAAAGCGCTATATAAATATATTTGACTTGACTTGACTTGACTTAAGGGGCGATTTCCCCTTACCTAAGAGAATAATTTAAGGGTGTTGCACATAATCTCTTAAACGGTTCTCTTAGGTAAGGGAAACATTTAAGTGTTTCACGACAGCGATCCTGGATTCACATTATAAAAGTCTGTTGTTGCCATAGATACGCAAAACACTAACATGATGGCATATCACGTGTCAGTCCAGTGACGCTATCACGCAACACCGCTTTAGCTCTGAAAGTGGCGGACCAGTTTTTGTTGTTCACCGTCTCCTGCTTTGGCATTTGTTTAGGTTTTGTGAATGCACTTCTGGCTCTATGTCTCGAAATACAGCTGAGTATATTTCCATAGCATACCTGTTTTCTTCTGTCAAGATTCCTTTTAAAACACAGAATCAGCTCGTTCTCCTGTGAATTTTTTTCTTCACGGGTCGGCCACACACTCTCCGTGCACGTACTGACTTAACATTGTGATAGTCTACATGCGAGTCGCATGTAATGACAGACAGACAGCGTCTAGTTTGTTAGCGATGTCAAATATTGTGCGTCGATCAAATCGGTATTCTTGCAACAATTTTTCATCGGTAAGTTGGTCCAAAGGGTTCTCCCTATTCCTAAAAATTCTTCTTGGCACATAATGATCTTCAGCTGGTTACATAAATTCAGCCATGTCGTCTTATTTTTGTCCGCGTTACTCTTATGGTTACGATTTCCAAACGGAAATGACCGTTAAGAGGTTTTATGCAACACTTAACACTTTTTAAGGGATCACTTGAGTGAAAAAACAGCATTTAAGGGAAATTCTAAGTTTTTTTGACGTTTCACTTAAAGAAACACTTAAGGTTTTTTTTCTGCAACAGCCTTAGGTTTAACGGAAACATAAGGGTGAACTTAAGGGAAAATTACACTTAAGGTGCTTTATGCAACCGGGCACTGGTTCTCAACAACTGAATATGGACGCAAATCCTTGGCAATAAAAGTTGCGATTGATTGTGTAATGCGCTTTGCCCTTTCCGAGCCGGATGGAAGCTTTGACAATGTTGTTTTGCTCGATGGTCCTCTGTTTGGCAGCAACAAACGGTACAGCCGAGTGCTTTTCCTCCTCTGGGTGGAAAAGTGTCATATGGCTTCTCATGTTTGTAGTGTTTCCGAAATATTTTAGTTTATTTCTACACAGCTTACAAATAGTGTGGCTCTTGTCCAGCTCCTTTCCCCCTTGAACTTCATAGAAGCCAAAATATGTCCACACGTCAGGTTTTAGCGAGGAGGGTGTTTGAATTTTGTGCTCAGCCATTGCATCTCTTTTTGTTATGTGCACGCCACAGACGGTTCGGGCACTGCACTTCCGCGCTTCAGAGTTCCGTCTTTTGCGTTCCGTCAATATTACGTTATATTATATATACACGTCTGCATCGCGATGCATCTAAGAATCGATTTTTTTCCCCCCACCCCTATTTACTATCGGCCGAATTCTCCTCTCTAGTACCCTGGCGTAGCCAAGACAGCCCCAGAAAATCCAGAGATTTGAGGTTCTCAGGGCGGATCTCATCCACCCCCGGTGCCTTGCCACGAGGAGCTTTTTAACTACCTCTGTAATTTCAGCTTGGGTGATGGACGAGTCCACCCCCGAGCGCTTGGCCTCTCGGCCTCTACGATCCCTCCAGCAGGTGGTGAGCCCACAGGAGGGCGGTCCCACGTCACTCTTTGGGGCTGAGCCTGGCAGAGCCCAGGCAATTGCTTTGGTCCCCAATCCCGGGCCTGGCTCCTGGAAGAGCTGAACCCAGGGATGCCCTTCACATTCAACCCAAGGGCCAGCTCTTCTGCCAGGGAGTAACGTAGGAGTGCAGGACCACCACCTTTTGTCCAGCCTTTTTCTTGGTTGCTGTTATAATCAGAAACGCACATCATTGCTTTTTAAAAGAGGCCAAGTCTAATGGTAAAGATTACCATTTTGTGGAATATGCTTGTAGTTTACTTGTTCCAATGTTAGTGGGTGGTGGCTCTGACATTAAAAATGAATAAAGGAACTATGAAATTATTAAAATACAAACAAATATATTGTAATAAGTGATAGAAACATTTAACATCATTTAACATGGCCACCACTTAGGCATTACTTTTCTGCTGCTTTTTGCTAGCCCTCTCTCATGGCCTATGCACACTTTGAGGTGTTCCCTGACGTTTTAATTAAACTTTCAAATTCCGCATATACTTCGACTATAAGCTCTTGCTCTGCTCTGCTCGGAGAAAAACTCTGCGCACTCTTTGGCCATGGGATATGTATTGATAGAAATATTAATCAGCAATTGGCTGCTCACCATTTTAAACCAACACATGAACGCACAGTTACGCAGTTATCTCAGATAACTAAATCCAGCGATACCTATCATAAACAATAGGTGTGTTTAAAGAAGCTATTTAACATGATTAGCACGATGATATCATCTTGGATGTGCCATCTGATCTCGGATGTATTTAGCGACGTACTAAGAACAGACCCCTGGCTTCTTGCAGCTTTGTAACCGTTCGGTCAGGCAAGACAAGAAGTCTTCCAAACACCTCACATGCTGAGTTTCACTTGTTTTGCATAATTTAATGAGCTGGAGTTTCGTAAATTGCATTTGTTCTTGTTTCGCCTCCAGTGCCTTGAATGTTGGGGTGCTGTGGTTGAAGTGCCTGACAAGCTGCCCAGCTGCCCAGCTGTAATAATAACCTGATGCACAAACACATTAAAACTGTCATTAACCACCAGCTAAAGTGTATGCGCAAAACAGGCTACTGAGTCCCATCCGGGAGAGTTTGCTGCCACAATGTTTGTGAATTATTGTAAATGCATGCAAACACTTTCCCAGTTAATCATCAATTAGTTAAGCTGTAAGGTTGTCAGCTGTGTGTTGCCATTAAACTGGTGTTAACTTGTATTTGTCTTTTTTCGCTTTAGACTTAATGCTGCTGAAAGAGGAGAGTCAAGAACTGAATAATATGGAAGATGAACATCATGATTTCAAGACTGGAGAGAAATTGACAAAGATGGAAAAGACTCACTCACAAAAAAGAGCCCAGAAGACCAAACCTAACAGTTATTTCACTTGCCTGGAATGTGGAAAAAGTTTCAGTCAAAAACGAAGCCTTGAATCCCACATGGTAGTTCACACTGGAGAGAAGCCTTTCACATGCCAACAGTGTGGAAAGAGTTTCACCCAAATGCAAAGCCTTGAAGCCCACATGAAAATTCACACTGGAGAGAGTCCTTTCACCTGTCAACAGTGTGGAAAGCGTTTCAATCAAAAACAAAGCCTTAATGTCCACATGAGAATTCACACTGGAGAGAGTCCTTTCACCTGTCAACAGTGTGGAAAGCGTTTCAATCAAAAACAAAACCTTAATGTCCACATGAAACTTCACACTGGAGAGAGTCCTTTCACCTGCCAACAGTGTGGAAAGAGTTTCAATCAAAAACAAAACCTTAATGTCCACATGAGAATTCACACTGGAGAGAGTCCTTTCACCTGCCAACAGTGTGGAAAGAGTTTCTATCAAAAACAAAGTCTTAAAGACCACATGAGAGTTCACACTGGAGAAAAGCCTTTCACCTGCCAACAGTGTGGAAAGAGTTTCAATCAAAAACACAACCTTAATGTCCACATGAAACTTCACACTGGAGAGAGTCCTTTCACCTGCCAACAGTGTGGAAAGAGTTTCAATCAAAAACAAAACCTTAATGTCCACATGAGAATTCACACTGGAGAGAGTCCTTTTACCTGCCAAGAGTGTGGAAAGAGTTTCACTCAAAAACAAAGTCTTAAAGACCACATGAGAGTTCACACTGGAGAAAAGCCTTTCACATGCCAACAGTGTGGAAAGAGTTTCACTCAAAAACACAACCTTAATACCCACATGAGAATTCACACTGGAGAAAAGCTTTACAACAGTTGAAAATATTAGGTTTCACATTATCATTCAGGCCATCCTTAAAAATATTCTTGTTTGCCGTAACCTGACCAACCCTGTCAATTTAGGACCGATCCAATTATTTATTTATCTTTACCATTTTAGTCCGATCGACTTGCCGGTTATAAACTTGCATTAAGACAGACCGATTTTTTTATTTTTTTTTAACTCTTCAAACAACTAATACAAATGCAATAAAATAATATTAATTATACTTTAGTAAGTATTGTAAATAAAATTGCCTAGGCCTAGGCTACACACTTTCTACGTAGGCTATGTTCTTTTAAAAAAAAAAATTAAAACCCGTGGTGTCATCTATGATTGTTTACACCATTGGTTTACGCATGTCACACTATGGCCTGTACGTTCGCTTCATTTCATTCACTGTCAGTGGTTCACGCTTAGTAATGATGGCTGCAGTAAATAAAATGTTCGTGTTCACCGTTCAAAGTCATACAGGTTCGCCATAATACAGGTCCTTCTCAAAAAATTAGCATATTGTGATAAAGTTCATTATTTTCCATAATGTAATGATACAAATTAAACTTTCATATATTTTAGATTCATTGCACACCAACTGAAATATTTCAGGTCTTTTATTGTTTTAATACTGATGATTTTGGCATACAGCTCATGAAAACCCAAAATTCCTGTCTAAAAAAATTAGCATATTTCATCCGACCAATAAAAGAAGTGTTTTTAATGCAAAAAAAAAGTCAATCTTCAAATAATTATGTTCAGTTATGCACTCAATAGTCAATACTTGGTTGGGAATCCTTTTGCAGAAATGACTGCTTCAATGCGGCGTGGCATGGAGGCAATCAGCCTGTGGCACTGCTGAGGTGTTATGGAGGCCCAGGATGCTTCGATAGCGGCCTTAAGCTCATCCAGAGTGTTGGGTCTTGCGTCTCTCAACTTTCTCTTCACAATATCCCACAGATTCTCTATGGGGTTCAGGTCAGGAGAGTTGGCAGGCCAATTGAGCACAGTAATACCATGGTCAGTAAACCATTTACCAGTGGTTTTGGCACTGTGAGCAGGTGCCAGGTCGTGCTGAAAAAAGAAATCTTCATCTCCATAAAGCTTTTCAGCAGATGGAAGCATGAAGTGCTCCAAAATCTCCTGATAGCTAGCTGCTTTGACCCTGCCCTTGATAAAACACAGTGCACCAACACCAACAGCTGACATGGCACCCCAGACCATCACTGACTGTGGGTACTTGACACTGGACTTCAGGCATTTTGGCATTTCCTTCTCCCCAGTCTTCCTCCAGACTCTGGCACCTTGATTTCCGAATGACATGCAAAACTGAGCAACAGTCCAGTACTGCTTCTCTGTAGCCCAGGTCAGGCGCTTCTGCCGCTGTTTCTGGTTCAAAAGTGGCTTGACCTGGGGAATGCGGCACCTGTAGCCCATTTCCTGCACACGCCTGTGCACGGTGGCTCTGGATGTTTCTACTCCAGACTCAGTCCACTGCTTCCGCAGGTCCCCCAAGGTCTGGAATCGGTCCTTCTCCACAATCTTCCTCAGGGTCTGGTCACCTCTTCTCGTTGTGCAGCGTTTTTTGCCACACTTTTTCCTTCCCACAGACTTCCCACTGAGGTGCCTTGATACAGCACTCTGGGAACAGCCTATTTGTTCAGAAATTTCTTTCTGTCTTACCCTCTTGCTTGAGGGTGTCAATGATGGCCTTCTGGACAGCAGACAGGTCGGCAGTCTTACCCATGATTGCGGTTTTGAGTAATGAAACAGGCTGGGAGTTTTTAAAAGCCTCAGGAATCTTTTGCAGGTGTTTAGAGTTAATTAGTTGATTCAGATGATTAGGTTAATAGCTCGTTTAGAGACCCTTTTCATGATATGCTAATTTTTTATTTATTTTTTTATTATGCTTTTTTATTTTCAATCAATAAACAACATATATCATACAGAAAGAGCATTCGGATGAGAATAGAAATAAAATTCAAATAAAGTAAAATAAAAACACACACATACGCACAGAACACAACACACTTTACGAACACTGGCAGCAAACTCATATTGACTGTAGAATATTCAAAGAAGTTCTTTAAGGGCAGAGGCTATACTCATCCAGGTGTTTACAGTGGTTGTCTTTGCCTTATTGATCTTTGCGGTTGTACACTCAAGGCAAACTATGTAATGAAATGAGACTATCCAAAATTGCTTCAAATTTGTATCTGGGGTTATCCACTGCTGTAAAATAGCTTTTTTTGCAGCTGTGAACCTTGCCATCAACACTTTTTTGTCACGTAAAGAAAATTGGTACTTTGAATCATCATTCAATAATAGTAAACAGGGGTCCAAAACCAAATATAGGCCTGTAAGGTCATGTAACCTTACAATCACATACTTCCAGAATAGATGAATCATTGGACAGTCCCAAAACATATGTAGAAATGTACCAGTAGCACCAGTATTACAGAAACTGCAGTATGGATTGGGTATAAGTTTCATACGATATCGCTTGTAAGGTGTGTGGTAGAAACGATGGATAGTCTTGAAATTAATAAGTACATGACTAAGGTTTTTAGAAGTAAGGCCAAGGTTTGACCAGACTGTTTCCCAGTCTGGGTGGAATCCTAACCAAGAAAGTTCCAAATCACACGTTGATAGTATCTTTAAAGGTTTATGAACACTACTGAGTAAAGAGTTATAGATTACTGTGACCGCCCCTCTGGGATCTTTGACAGGATCAATCCAACTAAACATTGGGTGGTCAGTCAAAACAGAATTCCATGGCACGCCATAAGCTTTCATAGCAGATCGCAACCTCAGGTACAAGAAAAAATAAAAGCCAGGTAGGCTGTATTCTGCTTGGATATCCTGGAATGTGCGCAAACCAGTCCCATCAAAAATATTGGAAAAAGTAAAAACCCCTTTAGACGACCACAAAGGGTAAACAAAAGGTTGTTGATCAGATAAGAAGTGAGTGTTGTTCCATAGAGGAGACTGTTGAAAGAATTTCTTTAAATGGCCTATTGCCTTTTCAGCACTGTACCATGCAGCTAAAGTGGATGAAATAACCTTACCAAATTTATGGCACGGGTTGCGATGTCCTATACCTGTGAAGGGCAGATCTTGAAGTCTATGGGGATGTACAATAACTGATTCTATGCTTCTCCATGACACTTTACTGTCTTTGTCCATCCACGTTCGCATAGCTCTAATCTGGAATGCCCAGTAATAAATCTGAAAATTAGGGAGGGCAAGGCCACCTTCTAATTTTGTGCGCTGCAGAACAGAAAAACGTATTCTAGGTTGTCTGCCATTCCAGATAAATCTAGATACTGCAGAGTTTAACTCTTTAAAATATTTGGGAGGTGGTGTGAATGGGATCATAAAAAACAAGAAGTTCAGGCGTGGTAGAATATTCATCTTGACTGTACTGATTCTGGCTTGCATTGAGATCTGAAGGTTAGTCCATCTTTGAAGATCAAGTTTTATTTTCTGGCTGAATTCACTGAAATTTAATTGGATGATTCTTGACAGAGAATTCGTTATTTTGATTCCTAGGTATGTAAATGATTTAGTGAACACAATATTGTTAGGAAGGGAAATGTGTTGAGAGATATTGTTAAGGGCCATTAAGGAGGATTTATCCCAATTTATCATGTATCCAGACATGCTGCTGAAGTGGTGGAATAGCTTTAAGACATTAGGTATAGAGTTGTTTAAGTCCGAAAGGTACAAAATGATGTCATCCGCATACAACGATATGTAATGTTGAGAACCGAGTAAAGTAATTGGAGCAATAACTTGGCTTTGTCTGAGAGCTTGGGCTAATGGTTCCAGTGAAAGTGCAAAAAGAAGTGGTGATAGGGGACAGCCTTGACGACAACCCCTCTGTAATGGAAAGGGTAGAGACTGATAAGTGCCTGTTGAAATAGAAGCTATTGGGTTACTATAAAGAGTTTGAATGGCATATATGAATTTATGACCGAAACCAAAATGTTCCAGTACTGTCCATAGAAAGTCCCATTCAAGTCTGTCAAAAGCCTTGAGTGCGTCAAGGGAAAAAACTGCGCAAGTGTCAGTATATGTGTGAGAATGTTCAATGATGTGCAATAAACGTCGCATATTGTCTGCGGCCAGCCGGCCTCTAAGAAATCCGGTTTGGTCAAAGTGAATCAAGGTATCCATGAAGGGCTCCATCCGGGAAACCAAGGCTTTTGCCAGAATTTTGACATCACTATTAATTAAAGATATTGGACGGTAACTAGAACAATTCAACGGGTCTTTATTTTTCTTATGTAACAAAATGATAACCGCTGTGTTCTGGTCCCTATGAAGCATACCATGTTTAATAGCATAATTCATAGAATTCAAGATTAAGGGCCCAACAACATCCCAAACAACCAGGTAGAGCTCCGGGGGAATTCCATCTGGGCCAGGGGATTTCCCTTTTTTAAGAGATTTGGCCGCATTATGAAATTCCTCCAACATTAGAGGTTCTTCTAAAAGTTCTCTGTCCTCTTCTGGTGAGATAGGCAGGTTCAAGTTCTCTAAAAATGTTTTGCATGTATGTCTGTCAAGAACCACCTCTGAAGAATACAGTGTGGAATAGAATGCTTTAAAGGTGTTATTAATAGCCCTTGGATCGGCAACTATTTTGCCTTCACTGTTTCGTAACATATCAATATTTGCTTTGGACTCGGTTTCCTTTAACCTCAATGCAAGTAGATGGCTAGTTCTATCTGAATGAAAATAATATTTTTGCTTAGTTCTGTGAATAATGAATTTAGCCTTGGACATCGACAGGCTATTGTATTCTTTTTTCAACAGTTACAAGTTCTGAGCAACCTCTTCCGAGAAAGACTGGGTCTGCTGATGCTCCAAAAGACCTTATTATAATCAGACCTAAGATAATCAGACCGTTTAATTTTAAGAAGCTTGGCCTTTGAGGAGAAGGCAATGCAGTTCCCTCGTAGATAGCATTTAGTAACTTCCCATAACACCTGAGGGTTTGAGCAATGATCCGTAATAATTTCTAAGAATTCTGT